TATTAAGAATACGTTTAATTATACATTCTACCCAATAAAGTGTGTTTAGAGCTTATTAATGTATTTTATTACCAACCTAGAACATTAATTGAATTCAACACTGATATAAATTTAGCTCGCAAGAAAAATGGACATAACTTGAAACCCGCTCCTTTATACCGGTGAATACCAATTCTTAGTTCTTTTTTCTCTAAATATGTTTTTAGTAAATCCAGGTTTATCAAACATAACCCCTCCCATTGCTGGTTACTTTTATTGCATACAAATCGAGTATGTCATACATAGAAAGGCATTGGGCTTTTAATTTGTTTCATTGTGAGTTCGACATTTACTTCCCCTTTACTACTTTTTACACGTGGTAGTGTTTTCACTATATGTTTATACCCAACACCATGGTTGTCGAACTCGCTACTTGGTACCTGTTCGACTGATTATCGAGTAGCGAGTACACGGGAGTACTTGGGAGTACTCAGATTCGGTAATTCATGTAGAAATATTTTTAGGGCAATTGTATATGTCAAATCATATGTTAAAACAATAAGTTTATTGAAATATAAAACAAAATTAGATACATTTGAATACACAAAAACTAAAACACACAATGGTCCCACTTCGTGAATAATTATTGAAAATTTAAGATATATATGTAGTAATAATCACATGTATGTGTTAAATAATAAATCATTAAGTATATTATACATATTAATCATCGAGTTTGCCGAGTTTTACAACAATGTTCGCTTCAACTCGCCTCGGTAAGGGGTCGAGTAGCGAGTACTCGAACGAGTAATCGGTTAACTCTACGAGTTTTACAACATTTCCCAACACTCACCTCACCCCTAACTTACCATTGCCTCTGATGACCATCCCACAAAAAATTCTCTCAAACTCCCTCTTGAATGTTCAACTTCATGGAGAATTTTTCCAACTTCTAGGATCATCTATACAAATATTTTTCATTAGTCATTAATATTCCATGGAGAAATCCCCCAAAAAAATCACCTTGATAATCATTATCTTCTCCACACAACCCTAAAACCAGGTGCCTTTTGGACTAACAACGACCCGCACCATTTCATCAACAACCCTTCCACCAACGATGCCCTTGCCCTAAAACCCTTTCCCTCCCACGAAAACTGACATCTTCTAAAATCGTAAAAGATTTTTGTACAAACATGACGTCATTATACAAATGACTAGTCGATTTAAGTATCGCATAATGAAAATACTTTAAGTAACATGAACTAACCATGCTAAGTTAGACATATTTAACCTATTATTTCATTAGTTAAGATTGTGGAATAATGAAGTAAGATATTCAATTGATTGTTTTTTAAATTTACAACTTCCATGATCCTACCATATATACCACACCTACAATTCCCTACGTAGCTATTTCTATATCAAGGAAATAAATCATAATATCCATCTCCATATTGAACTCAATGTCTTATTTGTGTTTTCTCATATCTTTACCGCTAGGTTATTTAATAGGTTCTTTATAAGTAGGTTTGTATTAAATACAATTAATTATTATCCCTTAAATGCAACATCGAATAGGTAAATAGAGTACATTATATCCAATCAACGATCATTGTCAAGTCTTAAAGATGTTATTCCAAAACTGATTGCGATATACCTTTCGGGTCAAAAATAAATATGACATTTTTTTTTTAACCCGTAAAAATCAATTTTATTGAGTAATCAACCCCACCAGCAAGTAGCTAGTGAGGCGAAATTGTTACATTTAATCAGTTACAATTTAGTGGGTTATTAATCCACATACTCCATTCTAACATTGCCTTATCACCACAATATTTAACCCAATTAAAAGTTTGAGACTGTATAATAGAAACAATTTTCACCGGTTGCCATTGAGCTTTGTTGAAGATTCTATCGTTCCTAGCCCTCCATATACACCATAGAGTGCCGAATAGTATCGTGATTAACGATTTCCTTTTTTTGGGCAATTTCCCCATTTGGAGGCAAACTCGATCATGTTTTTTACCGACTGGAATTTTGTCGCCTGGATATTACACCACTTGTAGATCGACTGGTAAATAACCTTTACTAGAGGACATGCTACCAGGAGATTATCTCCTGTCTCTTCAGCCTCGCGACATGCTTCACATAAGGACGATTCCTCTCCCGGCGAAAAAAAAGGAAATCGTTAATCACGATACTATTACGTTTAATCTCTCAAGAAGCAAACTGCCACAAACCTAATCGCACTTCCTCTCTCTAGAAACCCTAACCGCCGGTTGCAGCAACAACACCATTGCCTTGCATCGTCACGTCACCGTCTTCGCTACTAAGCCCTACCAGTTAACCTTCACGTCACCGTCACGCCATACTCTTTTCCACTCTCAAGAACATTCATTGCTTGACATTGTTGTAGCAGTGTAGCTTAACCCGACTGAAGAACATCTACTGCTTGATGTTGTTGGTAAATCGATAATCTCTCTCTCTCTCTCTCTCTCTCTCTCTTCCTCTCTCTCTCTCTCTCTCTCTAAAAACCATAAATCTGATTTCTCATAACAAATACAATCCTCTCCTACTCAGCCAGTCGAGGAGGCATTCATGGGTTGTAAAAATCAGGTTTGATTGTTTTGTTTCTTCCATACATAATGCTTTTGATATCGTTGATGAATATGGTTTTGTTTTTTTAGAGTAAATTACACGAATGGTCCCTATGGTTTAGGGTAATTTGCGCATTTGGTTCCTAATTTATATTTTTAACTCGGAATGTCCCTATTGTTTGTTTTTGTTACGCGTTTGGTCTCTATCATATATAAAAAGACTATTTTACCCTTGATTTTTTAATCTATTTAAATAAACACACCCCAACCTCACCCCTCTCATCTTACTTTACCTGCCCCATCATTTTTTTCTATTTAAATAATAGTCGTTTTGGGTAATACAGGGATCAAGCGTGTAACAAAAACAAACATTAGGGACCAAGTGCGTAACAAAAACAAACAGTAGGGACCTTCCGAGTTAAAAAAATAAATTAGAAACCAAATGCACAAATTACTCCAAACCATAGGAACCATTCATGTAATTTGCTCTTTTTTTTAAGGTACAAATGTGCTACAATGGCAGGTTTGATCATTGGAAATAAATATGACAATTAGCGGCGGTAACAAGGGATGATGTGTTAAAGCTGGTCTACAATGGCAGGTTTGATCATTGGAAATAAATATGACAATTAGCGGCGGTAACAAGGGATGATGTGTTAAAGCTGGTCCGAAGCCTTTCTTAGAGGCGTTCACTTTCCAAAAAAAAAAGGATGATGTGTAAAAAAAAAAAAAAATTATTAATGTTGTATTTACTAAGATATTTCTTAAATTATATCGTTTATATCGTACTAAATCATGGTTCAGTTTTTATTGTTGTTCTGAAATCATATTTGTAAAGCATATATTGGCCTATGTTTTGTATTGTACTTATTGCATGTTTTGAATTTTGATTTAGAAAGATGCGAAAAATGAAGAAAACGTGATCACAAAAAAATAAATAGGTAAAGAAGCATGTATCCTAAAATTTCCCCAAGGAAAAACTCTTTTATATGTATTTTTTGAACAAATAATAATAACATTCTTAATATTAATTAGCTTTATGTGATAATAAAAGTAATTTGAAACCTTACACCATAAAACGGGTTACCTTGGTTTACAGCAAAGTTTTGTGTTTTTCTAATTGTAGACTTTTCGGCAATTTATAGTTTTATACCATTGCAATATTATTCTTTAAATGACGTCTCATTAATTTTCTGTTTACTTCTAAATAAATATAATAACAACCTTCTTTCGTATATGTTGCCCATTGTAACAATGCTACAAAAGCCTATGTTTGCTACTTTCAAACATGTTTATCCAAAATCGTTTTTTTTCCTTTTGGTGCAAAAACTCGAAACTTAAGAAGGTTTTTAGGCTTCCATTCTCGGTTACCATGTCATATGGCAACCACTTTGGCAACCGTAAAGGCTTCTTAGCCGACTGTTAAAAAAGAAAGAAAAAAATGTGATCTAGTTTCAAAGATTACAGCGTTGAGTTAAGAAAATAATTTTCAAGTATCTAAAGCAACATATGTCATAATTTTCTCTTTCTTATACTTACATAGATAGTCTACACCAAGATATGTCAACAATAGAGTTCATATTATTTTTAAGTATAGTCTCATGATGCCATTATTTATGGTAGATGAGATATTCTTTTATCACAATGTATAATTGAATTCTTTCTGGGTCTTCTGGAAGTATGTTGTACAATGTAGAGAGCCCACGTGTTTTAAGTATCGATATGATATGGCTAAGGATATTTCTTTTTAACATATTTAGATGCACTAATGTTTATGCTAATAAAAAAACACATGTAAATTTTTTGACTAATGTTTTCGAAAGAAGATCAACACTTAAACCACAATGTATGCAAGTTTTGGATGGATATATATATATATATATATATATATATATATATATATATATATATATATATATATATATATATATATATATATATATATATATATATATATATATATATATATATATATGAGGGAAACATATATATGTTGATCTAACAAGGATTTTGTAAGTTTGAGAAACGAACGGTTTTTTATAAGACATGTTAATTTAAAAGTTGTATTATGTAAAGTTTCAAAACAAATGAAAACGTGCATCAATAATCAACGCTTTATAATATCATTCATGTTTGATATTTTTAGTTTTGTAGTATGGATTGTGAAGCTTCTCAATAAAATACAACTAATCATGTATATAGTTACGTTATAACTTCAAAATTTATAATAGGATTTATCATTGTAATGTTTCAAAACAAAAATAATTTTACAAATCATCATAAAATATCAGAAACATATGTTGTTGTCCATTTAACCAATCTAATTGAATCATCATTTAAAATTCTCCATCTAACTAATCTAATTGAATCATTATTTAAAATTGATTCTTGTTAAGTTACAATCATACAACCATCCAAACGCCCGCTAACAAACAGAAAAGAATGCACTCATCCGAATATACGGTCGATCAACGTCGAGACCCGTGACTCACGGGTTGACACAGTGATAATAGTCGTCATAACCGATAAGCACCGTTGAACCAAAAGGATATACATATAACATATATAGCTCACCTACACAACCAGAAGGAACCTTCCCCAAATTAACTACCAGTTAGCTGATTCCCATTCAATCCATTCGTATTTTGTTTATTTTATCAATCCTTTTCCACCTACAAACAAACCCTTGTTATATCCCTTTCACTTTCACTTTCACTTTCACTTTCGCTCGAATCTTTTCTTCATTCAGTCCCTCACCGATTCTTGAAGAGGCTATCCACAATTCTCTTAGGTAAATCTTCTTATGTTCGACTTTTCTGATTTGGGTTTGTTCGAAAGTTCAATTTTATCGATGCAAATCATGTCAATTTTGATTTTTGAAGTATGCTTTCTTTCTCAGCAATCAGGAAATAGCGACCTGTATGACCTTTTAAGGTCAACCTATAGGTCTTCAAAATCGAAATTGCTATGATTTTCTTATTAATTAAATTAAACACCATCTTCAGTTCTTGTAGATCTTAATGTTAATTTTCAATCCAATGAATTGATTTTTCTTTAACAATGAAATTTGACATTGAATTGGGTTTCTACTTGCTAGTTTAACATCAATAGTCAAAATGTAGCATTCTTTACACTCTACGTTCTCGAATTGATCGTGGATATCAAGATTTGATAGAGTAAACTATATTTCACCCAAATTAATTTATTGTTTCGTGCATGTATGTATTGATTCTTCAGAAATCAAAACCCGTGAAGACTGAATTGAGTTCATGGGTGGCAAAAGTTCAAAGAGATCTGTTTCAGGTCGTTATGCATCATACGGCTCGACCTCAAATTCATGGGCCTATCCGCAACCATCGTATCCTCAACCTCCAGTGAGCCAACCGTATGCTTCACCTTCTCCATATCAAAGCTATCCAAATCAACCTCCCGCAGTTAAGAAGAGACTCGAGAGAAAATATTCAAGAATCGATGATAACTACAACAACTTAGAACAGGTTACAGATGCCCTGGCGCGTGCGGGTTTGGAATCATCAAATTTGATTGTCGGTGTAGATTTCACCAAAAGCAACGAATGGACAGGTTCGATTAAAACATTAGGGTTTCTCAATTTCTAATAAATCTCTTGACATTTCAAACTTTTTTCAATTTTAGGTGCAAGATCGTTTCATAGAAGATGCTTGCATCACATTGGAAACGAAATGAACCCTTATGAAGAAGCGATTTCGATAATTGGAAGGACATTAGCTTCCTTCGATGAGGATAATTTAATTCCTTGTTTTGGATTTGGAGATGGTATGTACTGTGACACTGTCACTGTCACTCTATCACTGTCACTGATTGTAATGTATATAATTTTTCAGCTTCAACGCATGATCAAGAAGTCTTTAGTTTCCTTCCGGATGACAAATTTTGTGATGGATTTGAAGAGGTTTTAAGAAGATACAGAGAATTAGTACCTCAACTTCGACTTGCAGGTGGTTAATGGTGATTCTATTTTCTATAAGTTGTAATTATTTTATTATCATTATTATTATATTTGTAAAGGTTAATTTATCTTGTTTTTATCTCTCTAAACAGGACCTACCTCATTTGCACCTATTATTGAAATGGCTATTACTATTGTTGAGCAAAGTGGTGGTCAATATCATGTCTTATTAATAATAGCCGATGGGCAGGTAAATTTATTATTAGCCATGATATTAAAATAAAATTGGGTAATTCGGAAATATCAAAATATGGTTTGTTTAAACTGTGAAAAAAAAAAAAAAAAAGATAAAATATTTCAATCACTAAAGAAAATAATTTAACTAACTCGATGTTGTAGGTCACGAGAAGCGTTGACACGGAACGCGGTCAACTAAGTCAACAGGAGAGGAAAACCGTGGAAGCAATTGTGAAAGCTAGGTACTATTCGTGATGTCTAGTTTCGTAATTTTGCACATGTGGTACTATTTCTGAAATGTTTCTTTCGTGACTTTTAGTGAGTACCCGTTGTCGATAATTCTAGTTGGAGTTGGAGATGGACCCTGGGACATGATGAGGGAATTTGACGATAATATCCCTGCCCGATCGTTTGACAATTTTCAGGCAAGTTTTTAGCAAATGTCATTACATTTGTTAGTTACTTTTTTTTTTTTTCTAAATTCTCTATTGATTTAACCTTTTTTTTTTTTGCATTTTAGTTTGTGAATTTTACAGAAATAATGTCGAAGAATATCGATCGGTCTAGGAAGGAAGCAGAGTTTGCTCTTGCAGCCTTGATGGAAATACCCGCACAGTACAAGGCGACATTAGAGCTCAACATTTTAGGGTAACCTTCTGCTTATTTTGTTAATCAAACTTTCATCTCTTTCTATTATAAATGAAAATATATTGTTATTTCTTACATTTAGCCCTTTAAACAAAACCAACATTTGCTTTGAATATATATGAATCAGTGGTCGTAGAGGAAAAGCCATAGATCGGATAGCTCTTCCTCCACCTTGTTATGGTTCGGTGTCTTCACGTGCATCATCAAAGCCATCGGGACCCACTACCTTCCAACCCTCTTCACACTCGTTTCAAGCAAAGTCAACACCGGTCAACAAAAGTTATGCTGGAGGTTCCTCTTCTGATAACCAAGTAAGTCGTTTTTTGACTGAATCGAATACTGTGTAACCGAAAATTATTATTATTATTATTATTATTATTATTATTATTTGACTGAATCTGAATGAGAATTTTGATTTTGGCAGCTTTGCCCGATTTGCATAAGCAACCCGAAAGATATGGCTTTCGGCTGTGGACACCAGGTACAACAATGACTCTTTTTGCTTATAATATGTATATGTTTTTTTTTTTTTTTAATGATTTAATAAATGTTTCAAGGAATATAATATGGTTTTATTTTCTTGTGTTGTTCAGACGTGTTGTGAATGTGGGAAAGATCTTCTGTTGTGCCCTATATGTCGGGATCAAATAGACACAAGGATTAAGCTTTACTAAGTGGAATATGAGCTTGTTTTGAGTGCTATATGTTATTTAGTTTGTACATAATCTTATTCTTTGTAACTGGTTTTGGGATAAAGTTGTGTGAACCGGAATAACCCATTTTGTAACCGGTCTAATTGGATTTTTCCTAGTTCAGTTTGTAACCGGTTTCAATTGTGGATCGGATCTGGATACAAATCGGGTGAATGGTTTTGTTGTGCATCTCTAATTGGAAGAAAAATACATTTGATAATAGTTGATAATTTCTATTATCACGAAAATAGAAATTGGTTTTAATAACTAGAATAAAAGAATTCACGAAATTTGATTGAAAAGAATTTCATGGATTTATGACAGGCATGAATAGATAATTACCACCAAATAAATGATTCAAGTAAACCTGATGATTACTCTTCAACTTCTTCAAAGCTTTCTCCCATGAAACTTTAAGAGTACTGAAACCCCTAGCTTTCATCCCCATCTTCCTCCTCCTAAACACTTTTCTTAAACCTGAAACCTGAACCCCAACCCGCTTCTTGACCATCAATCTCCGCCACAGCCGCCACCTGCTCCACCGCCGGTGTTGGTTATGGTGGCCTTCTGCATTTTTCAGTCTCAGGTAATGAAACCTCCATAGAGAAACCAACTCATGGTCATCCATGATTGAATTGCAAGCAAATAAACGTATATATAGAGAGAGATTCATGAAGTTAGTTTTATTAGGGTTTTATGATGAACCGATAACGTTAATTAGTAGCTGGATTTTGCAGGTGAATTAAATGTGATGTATGAACTTTATACACTATGATAAAACTTGAGACTGGTACAATATGGAATTTGCAGGTGAATTAATTGAGTTTTTTTTTATTATCACAGATATACATTAAAAGGGTTTTTTTTTCGGTGTTTAGCGACCGCATGGGAATTTTAAGCATCACTTTTGTCATTTTGCTTCTCTTCATATCATTTTGTTTATTCTTCATTCATTTTTTCCAAGAATGGAAAATTATTTAGAGTGTGTTTATGATATTTTAAGTGTTTTGAGAATTGAAATGCAAACAAGTAGTCCTAATGAAAAGTAAAGTGTAATTTTTGGACAAAATATACATTTTAAGGGAAAGTCTAATCTTTTTTGACGTTTTCTTTATTTTTTTTACACATTTGATCATTTATCATCGACTATAGGAGGTGACAATTGTAATATGTGTAAACATTAACAAGTTAAATGGTTAAATGTGTATAAAAAACGTTGTCTAAATGTGAACAAAATGAAAAATTAATTATCATGATAAATCATTTTTCCCATTTTAATAACGATTTTATCTTTCATATTTGTTTGTATTATTTGTTTTGAACATTATTTTATATATATATATATATATATATATATATATATATATATATATATATATATATATATATATATATATCCTCATATATTTTTTTTTTCTTTTAAACATATACAATGTTTTTAAAGTAAATAGTATCTAATAATAAAATTAAATAAATTAAATACTTAATAATAACTATGGAGGGTCTTTAAAAAAAATTAAAAGAAAATATTACTTAACAAATAAAAAATAAAAAAAATTATATAATGCAAATGTTTAAATTTATTATAACTTTTTAATACTTTTTAATTAGAAGTTTATAAACTTTTAATTTTTTCAATAGAGCATTTTCAACTAGTATTCAATGAAAGTATTTTAAAATGTTATAAAACGAATATTAGATCGTCATACAAAATCCGTGAAACACTTTAAAAAAATGTTGTGAAACAAAGTTTAGAAATAATTGCATAAAAGCTGTTATACAAAAATTATATAAATATGTTTAAAAAAAAGTTAAAAACTTGTAAGTAAAAATTCAAACATTTATAAGATATTTTGTTTAAAAGTACTTGTATTAAAATCATATGAAAATATAAAAATAGTTTAAAAAAAGTTATAAGTAAAGTTTAAAACATTGTATTAGAAAAACCTATAGGAAAAAATATCATAAAATATTCTAAGAAATTATAAAAAGTCTTAAGAAATTTGTAATAAAAATTGTCCATATTTAGATAATTTTTTTTACACATTGACCATTTAACTTGTTAAATGTGTTCATATATTATAATTGTCACCAGTTAATGATAATACACATTTAACAAGTTAAATTGTCAAATGTGTAAAAAAATAAAAATAAAGTTTTCTAAATGTGAACAAGACAAAAAGATAATTATCCGCACAAGTTATTTTCCTACATTTTAATATAGTTTTATTATTAAATACTTTTTACTTTTTAGTCACTTAATATATAAAATGAAAAAATAAATATTATTGATGTAACACTTGATTCCAGATATAAAATTAATTCCAATGTCTTCATGATTCTCTTTGGACACGACATGTTTGTGTCATAACACGACGTGTCGATGGCCTTTAGGTCGCGAACTTTATTGGACCAACACGGTGTGTTTATTCCATTACGCAACGTGTTGGCAGCTAGTGGAGAAACTTTAATTTTTAGGGTGTTGCACCCTATATAAAGGCCTTAAGTCCTCATGGTTGGCCTCCTAACCAACCTCCATTTCCACTAAAACCCTAAAAACGATCTTTAAGTCTCTTGGTGGTGTTCTTAAGCTAGTAAGAAGTTCTTGGTGCTCATTTTTGGTCTTTGTGAAGGAAGAGGAGATCTTGAAGTTGTGTTACTTGGTGGAAAGGCTTTGGATCAAGAATCATCTTCTTTTGTTCAAGCTTTCTAAGGTTTAAAGTTTGAACATTGACTTATAAATGTTTAGATCTCTTCATATTGTGCTTTTTTGTGCTTTTGATCCCTTTTTGGGTTGATGAGAGAGTGAAGTCTTTTTAAGGGCTTATTATTCCAGATCCGAGTTTGTATTGGACTCTTTGAGCAGAAAGGTGCATGCTTTATGAGATAACTGGTTACATTCATGCATTAAGTCACTTATTATGTCCTTTTTAAGCTTAAGAGCTTCATTTAGAAATACATGGGCATAAAGTTTGTAGCTTTACATGGTTTTTCAGCTTAAGGAAGTCAGATTAATGTTTAAGGTTATGTCTTTAAGGATTAAATGCTTATTTGTTAAGCCCTTGCACTATTAAGCCTTATGGTTTGGGTTTTGGACTCTGTTCACACGATGTCGCGCACGTATTAAGCAAATAAATTATCACTGTTGGTTGCACTAAAAATATAGCACAGGGAAGCAGGGTCGAATCCTTAGGGACACAACCTAAAAGTCAATGCCTTTTTGCATCAGGCACATCTAGTCAAAACAAAAATTATAAAAGGGGGATTTGAATTAAACTAAAAACTAAAATTGTAGTGATATTAAACTAAACGAAAATCAATATAAAAACGATTTTAGTTTTGCAGCGACTTTCCTAATCATGTAACTGATCTAGATCTGATTATTAGAGATGCGTTCTATCTAAGCTGGTACTGAGAAAAACTAACAAGCTCTAGTAATTTCTCTTTTACCTAAATTAGTTAATCAAAACAGGTTCTTCAATTAACCCTAACTTTTTATTGTTCAATTAAACAAGCTCTTAATGAAATCAGAAAAGCAGCTTTATGATCTGTGTAAAATTCCCAGCAATACCCAATACTTCTCACAAGCTCAGAAGCGTAAAGATTTGATTTTTACAATTTATAATAAAGTCAAATCCCAAACACAGAACCGATTTATTACTTGTTACTTATTACCAATTAATTAGAACAATTACGGATTCTATTAACTGATTAACTGGAATGATAAAACCCTAGCTAGGTGATCAAACTAACAAGAATCAAAATCAAACATTCATTAAGATCAAAACTGAAGAATCTAGATAGAAACACGAATAAAAAACCAGATCTAATGATCAATCACATGAAAAGTACTTGTCTTATGCAAAACTGAAAACTAAGGTTTAGCCAGACATGGCCAAAATCTGATAAAAATAGATGAAAAGAGACATCAAACAACTAATCTTACTAATCTACTTGAAGGAGATGATCCACAGTCTTCAGATCTTCAGAAATTGATGAAATCAGAGAAGAAACGCCTCCAAAATCGTATTTTCGTCGTCTGGTACCTCTGGAATCGCCAACTTAGGTTACTGGAAGGCTATCAGGGTCTTTTTATATGTCCAACAGCAAAAACGACGAACCTGCGATCGCAAGGAGACAACCTGCGATCGCAGGTTTTTGAAATAAATGTATCTGATGTCGTTTTAATGAAGTAGGATGCTATTTTGACACTTTTTGGCCAACCTGCGATCGCAAGTTTTGAGTTTTCACTTCCGGATGAATTTTGGGCACAAAAGAACCTCGAAGTCAACCTACGACCAAACTTGCGATCGCAAAAAGATCACCTGCGATCGCAAGGAGATAACCTGCGATTGCAGGTTGTGCCTATGATGTCCGAAATTTCGTCTACTTTTCAGATCATTTTGAATCGCGTCAATTGGAGTTACGGTTCTCGAGATATGGTCAAAACACTAACAGGGGGTCAAAGCTACCAACAACATCCTTTAAATTTGATATTGTATATTCTATCTTCGTGTGATCAATTCAATCGAATGTTTCTTGACCAAAGCATCTTCCAAACATTCCTCAACATACTCCATAAGTTTCAATCTCCATTTTAAGCTCCAAACGCGCATCCAACTGCTCCCAAAGCAGTACTCCACTCGAACTATCTGAAATCAACATAATGTTGGATTTATGTCTAAGTCCATAACTATTTTGGTATGTACTTGACCCGATTATGAGCATGGTCCTTTTGGGTTGCCTTCACCATAGCAATATGTAGGATGATTTAAGGAGAGAAAGGTTTAAATATGATTTATTAATATATTATGAGAATAATATATTAAAGGAGAAATCATATTTTTTAATTAATATTAGTCAACAATTAATTGATAATTAATTTTGTGGCTAAAAGAGATTAATTAAACTTAGGGGACTGAAGTTGTAATTATAAGATAATTATAATTGGGCTATGGATCACCTAATAATATATAGGTTGGACGAATTCTATGGGAAGCCCATTAAAAATCGTCCAAGGGATATGTTTAAGGAGTCAATGGGCTGCTTAGGGCCTAAGCAGTCAGATTAGGGTTTCCTAGTTGTAAACCCTAATAGCCTACATGTATATAAAGGACCCTTAAGCCCCAAAAACGTGGACAACTGATTCTCTAGGGTTTCTAGTCATTTTTGGGCAGCCTCTCTTCTTCCCCTCTTCATCCAAGTTACATATGGTGTTTGTGACTCCATTAGAGGTGCAACACTTGAGGCACTAAGCTTTTGAAGCCAATCCAAGAAAGGAATTGATTGTTATTGCTATATAACAATCAAAGGTAATTCTATAAACCCTAATTCAGTTTATAATATGTTAGATCTGAGTTTATTAGTCTTGGATTCAAAGCATGTACAATAAAGAAACCTAGATCCAAGCATTAGGGTTTGTATGAGCACATAAGATTGTTCTTATGCCAAAAACCCATCAGTGGTATTAGAGCCTTGATTGGTTTCAGTTGTATGTGATGCTATGTTAAATTATTTACTGAAAAACGAGTTTTTTTTTTGCCTCTGCCCAACTCAACTCGGCGAGTCAGTATCTGGACTCGGCGAGTTGGCCCTACTCGGCGAGTCCAGGTCTGACTCGGCGAGTCAGTGCGTCAGGCAGAGGGTATTTCGGGATTTAGCTGTTGTTTTGACTTGGATTTGATGCTTAAATTGCTTTATAAAGTTAAAATCCGAATTTTATCT